AAATAATTTTTTTATGTATAATATGAAAAAATAAAATAAATCGAAATTATATTTTAAGTTTTATGATAATTGAAAATTGGGCGTTACTTGACTGTACATGTTCTACCTGACTTGACTGTACATGTTCTACCTGAAAATGAAGTGCATGCATTGTTTTTCCCAAAGAATACCAAAAGGTATCATCATCGATATGTGTTATTTTATTTAAAACTTACAAAATGATTAAAATGAAGATAATTGGAGGAAAATAAGATAGATTCGTAAAATCTGAATAAAATTAATAGTAAGAGATTTGATAAGTCCCTAGTGGTGGTAAATTATTGTTACTGATAACTTTCTGGGACAAACTGACATTGCACAGCATTGGTATCAACAAACAAATGTTGACGTATCGTTGAATTTCTAAATCTGTAATTGATGTAAATTTACTTCGCACTTTTTGAGGAAAGTAACCTGTTCGTCTGCTGTAGGGTGGGTTCTCCTTTTTAGATCATTTAGCAATTTAATAAAAAGCACTTATAAATATGAATTTTTTACTTGCTATTTATCGTTCTATCTCTTGTTCTTGTTTGATTCTTTCCCATGGCGAATCCAAATTTCTATAATACAGTACGTGCAAACGTAAATCCACCGATGATAATTCTTTTAACAATAAACTACGCAAGCAAAATAGAAGTTTGTAGACATGAGCTGCCACTAAAGATGTTGGAGGAAAAAGAATTAACTGCTCAATACAAAAACATAACTCGAAAGCAAGCCAATTCATCATTTTTATTTAGATGGACTTGCGAAAAGTCTAAAAAAGAAAACAGTGAAGATTGGTTTTGCAACAATCAAAATTGCATCTTGAATACAAATAATATTTCAAGGATATTCAATAAAACTTGGCCAAATCTTCCCAAAACCTTCAAAAATATTTTTAATGAATTGTATGAAAATATAAAAGAAAGACGTTTGAAACCACAGACAGACTTTATATTCATAACAGATGATCGAAGTTTACATAACAAAAATGCCCTCGGCTTGCAAAATAACAATCAAACCTCTTATGATAGTTCGATTAATAAAATTGTAACTACGCATACAAGTAATATTTGCGGTAATTCGTTAATCGATGCGAACGGTGCGTCTTCCAATTTAAATGGCAATCGGATTTCTTACGATGATGCACTTAATACCAATATTTACGATAATTCATCATTTGATCCGGATGGCACGTATTCTAATTTAAATGAGACTTTTTACGAAAACTCTCTTAATATCTCTACAAACAATAATCACGATAATTCGTTAACCGGCCTGGACGACGCGTCCTTTAGTTTAAATGGCAATCAGATTCCTTATGATGATTCACTTAATGTCAATATTTACGGTAATTCGTTAATTGATCTGGGTGGCATCATGCACTTCAATTTAAATGGCAATAGGCTTCCTTACGATAATTGCGCCACAACTACGCATATAAGCAATATTTGCGGTAATTCGTTAATCGATTCGAGTGGTGCGTCCTCTAATTTAAATGGCAATCGGATTTCTTACGATGATGCACTTAATACCAATATTTATAATTCATCATTTGATCCGGATGGCACGTATTCTAATTTAAATGGGACTTCTTGCGATAACTCTCTTAATATCTCTACAAACAGTAATCACGATAATTCGTTAATCGATCTCGGTGACGCGTCCTTTGATTTAAATGGCAATCGGGTTTCTTACGATGATTCACTTAATGCCAATATTTACAGAAATTCGTCAATTGATTTTAATGGCACATACTCTAATTTAAACAGTGATTGGGCTTCTTACAATGTCGCTACGACTACACATACAAATAATCTTTACGATAACTCGCATATTGATCCGTGTGGTGCGTCTTCGAATTTAGAAGCACTTTTTGAAGACGGGTTTGACTATCTAAAATCAAGATGAATAGATAATTGCGTGATGACCAGTATTTGTAATTTTTATTTTCCTTACAAGCTAATAATTAGTTATAACTTATGTTACTATTTGGTTTCCTTTTCCTCTATATAGATGTTTTCTATCGTATAGTTCTTTATTCGAACGCATAGCCTAAGATATTATAGACATAAAGATGCTCTATTCTAAATTATATTGATTAATTGATCAATTTTCAAGACAATTTTATCGAGTACATCCGAAGTTTTGAAAAAGGTATTATCAATTATCTAACATGTAAAATTCCTAAATTTTAGAATATAATTTCTCGAGATCTTTAATTTTCCCAATAGGTTGGATCTATTGAACCAATTCTAAACTTTTTGCCAAAGATTTGGGTATAAAAAATTTTATAGGCAAATCTTATAAAGATTTTCTCAGTGCATATACTTAGACAATTTTGTATTTTTTATGATATTAAAGATTTTATTATTAAATTTTAATATTAATCTGTAACCGAATAAATTGGGGTTTTAGAGCTGCGAAATCTATATATCGATATAGGAACTTTGATAAACTGACTGTTTTTGAGAGCAAAACCATAGAAATACATGTTAATATTAGTCTTTGCGTTTTTGATGAATATGCGGTGAAACAGTTTTTAGGATCAGGTACTTTACTTGCATTCCTCAATGGATGGATGTGGCACAACAATGGATGGTTAAAATCTGAACGTGAATATTTTCATGAATCATCTGGTGAGTTTGCACTACGTACATAATTCTTGAAACAGCAATAGTAAACATGAGCTGAACATTTACATGTGCTTTGATGCATATCAAAAATTCGATTCTCAAAGTTTGGGTATGCAAAAAAATCTTAGCGTCAGCGTTAGCATTTTCAGGTATGCAATAATTTTTTGTTTAATTTGAAGTTTATTCACATTTGACAATGACTACGCTAAGATTACTCTTTTTGCTATTGAACATGAATAAACTTTGAATACTGACAAAACTCAGTTTCTAAGAATAGTTTGATTGTATTAACATTAAGGTTTTCATTAAATATTTTGTCTGATATCTTTTTAAGTTATACTTGTTAGTCGTCGAAGATGCTTACTACGATTAAAAAAAGTAAAGCACGATAAACACTCGCAATACTAATCTGCCAATATATTATATGGAGTGCGCGTTATTCAGGAATGTTATTTTGAAACCATTCTAAAGGGTACGATTTTCAAAATGACGTCCGTGAGCGTAATTTCGGTACATTTATTAAATTATTACTAATATTAAAAAATAGTGAAATACAAACACAAGATAAAGTGAATAAAGTAAATGCAAACAGGAAGGTAAAATATAAACTTACTAGAAGCTTTTCTTTTAATAATTTAATAAGTCAATACTAACTTTAACATGCCGGCATGCGCCTAAAGTATTGTGGCATAGGCAGAAATTCTGGTCTTAAAGAAAAAAAGGAAGAGATTTGGACGTTAGCACTTCTATCCACATGAAGCCAATTATGCCCGACATAGTCGCTTGCAGAAAATTTAATTGTGTACTTTCGTCGGTCTATAATTTTTTGTTATGCTTTTATCAATTTAGGTATTGTGATTATTTTACAGGATATTTGACATGTTAAAAATACGTTTCTTCAAAATATTTAATCATGTCTCTCTACATAGCGACATCCATGATCTACTGTTCTTAGAAGTTGCAATAATATCTATTCTCTTGACAATAGTAACATTCATTACAATGATGAGTATTGGATTTTATTTTTGAATTCATTGGATAAAATGCGTGAATTAGTTGAAATCATTGAAGATAATCGTTGTCATTACATAACGGTAGGGCCTCAAATCTTAAGTGTCCTCGTTATCATTATAATGAGTACACGGCAAACTCGTTAAGACGAAGCCACGCTAAGCCGAAATTGCATTAAGCCGAAGTTTTTCTGGTTTACTAAATTTTTTATTATATATAAATTCGGCTTTGTGCAAAATTTAGTAAAACGAAAATCTCGATAAGCCGAATAAATTGTCTCTGCCCCCAACCTTCGTCTTATCGAGTTTGTCTTGTACTTCGTTGACTGTTTCTCTTATCACCTACGAATTTATAACGATGAATTGACAACTTTAATAACAAGGAATAATTCGAATGGCTCCCTTTTGAAAAATTTAATATCTTGCAAAAGGATGGCTATTTGGTTGGATAAATGCAAGTGGGAGCATGAAGTGAATAAATCTATACGATACGAGGGCGGAAAAATTATGTTAAAATCATTACACAATTCAAAGCAAAGTACACCAGTCTATGAACGAGATAAAAATGAACATTTTCTAAAGTGAAAGTTGCTTTTTGCTCTTAAACGCAGTTATAATATTGTAGTAAATGGCTTATGACAAGATGGTGATCTCCGTAAATTAAACAAACTCTATTAAGCACATGTGATATTGTTTACATGTACAATGTACAAGTCACATCACATATAAGATCAAGATAACAGCAGAGACAGTGCCCATATATAGATCTTCGTTTAACGTTACACAACTTATAAATTATTTTTTATATACTTTTAAAGTACTTCGAACATCATGTATTACTTGCTTGTGTAATAAGCTAAGTGCTAATACTTTATTAAGTAAACTTGAAGTTTTCATATCATAGAAAATCTATTAAATCTCTCTGAATTTCATAATATTAACTTTATATTTAAAATGAAAAATACTAAGAAATATCTCAAATATAAGAAGACTAATAAGTCTAGTAAATTAAAATTTTGTCAGTTAAAAAATGAAATATAAAAAGAAATTCAAGTTAATAATTTGATAAGAGAAGAATAAAATAAATATATAATATTTTATAATTATTATTATATGAATTATATATTAAATCCTCTTAAAAGAGGAAAAAAAGTTACTAATGAAGAAATTATAGAATTAACTGAGATAAGTATTATAAAAATGAAAATAAAAACAAAAAAAATAAATATATTTAATAATTTTAAGCTTATTAAAGTTATAAGATTTATAACAAAAATTCTTCATACTAAAAAAGTTAAAAAAAAAGCAAAAGTCTATTTATAATTTTAATAAATTATAGAAATTACTTGAAAATCAAGATTCTAACTTGAATAGTTTTTTTAATTAATTATATTTAATAGTATATTTATTGGAATATATTAATCAAATTATAGAGTATATAAAAAAAATTATAATTTTTATTTATTATCTTCTTGCTTTATTAAATAATATATAAATTAATACTTTTAAGTCAAATCTTGTATTTTATTTAGATTTGACAGGAATAAGTAATAAAAATTTAAATACTATAATAAGTATTAGTATAAGTATAATAACAAAAATTATAAATTATAAAAAAAAAGATATCAGAAATACATAGAGAATTTATTAAAGATAATTTTATAGAGCATTTAAATAATACTTTTATTCTTAACATAAATAATTATCATAATATTTATATTCTATAGTAATCTTATATTATTATTATATCTTTATCAACTTATATAATAATAATTTTGATAAATCTGTACTTAATATTAGTTATATCATGTAATCAAGTAATTAATTCTAAAGTTATAAATAAAAAATTAATTATAAGAAATATAGATAAGTATTTTATTATAAATCTTAATATTTTTTATTATTATTATATAAAAAATTATATTAAAAAAAATATTTTAATTTAAAATTATTAAAATAATATTCTAATATAAAATTATTAAAAAAACTTACTTTACATAGTTATAATAATAAATTAATAGAAAAAAAGTGATTAATATATTAAGTACTATATTCTTTTTTATTTTATTAAGTTTAACTTAAAGAAAATTAGTAAATACTTAGATTTGCTTAAAACTATATATAATTAGGAGTTAATACAGAAATATTTTTCAAATTTATAGTTTATTATTATGAACTAATTTGATTAATTCTATTTAATAAAAAATATTTGAAAAAATATTAAAGATATATGCTTATAATTTTTTTGATTGAATTATAAAAAAAGA